CTGTGGCCAATCTCACCCTGGTGTCTGCTTTGCTTTCATCTGTGTCTGTGAGGAACACCTAGGACAAACGTGGCCTTGATTTGTTTAGGGCCTTTGTGTGAAGCCCAGTGATTGCTTCAATGAATAGACTTCCCAAGCCTTAACAGAGAACGAGCAGAGCATCAATGGATCAGGCTCTTTGGGAAGGATCTTTCATTCAAGTGGATCCTGAGGCTGCTTTGTGCTCTGTTTATCCAACCAGGAAATGCTGCACAGGCAGGAGAAGGCAACCCTGCTTCATCCCAAAGGCATCTCCACTGTCCTGTCCCAGCAGCCAGCCAATGCAGGGCTGGCTAGAGACCTCCCTCAATACAGCCCATTGACTGGTTCCTCAGATAGCAGCATCTCTGCTGTTGCTACTGTCTGCTGGTTCTGGATCTGAACCAGTGACCTAGAGTAAAAGGCTCTGTGTTTCCCATCTGCAAGCCGAAGCCAAGCCTGCTCTTTCTTTTTTCAGAGGGATTTGGGTGAGAGCCAGAGGGGCCATTGTGCACCCTGCCATTTCCCAGCTGCTCCCACGAAGCTCCGAGCTCCCAGCTGGGGGAAGGGACTCAGGAAAGGAGGCCTGGGCTTGCAGCTCCTCTTGCTCTGCCCCAACCCCATCCCAATCTTATCTCGGGCCTCTCGCTTTCATGTGCAGCCACGTCACCTGGAGCTATAATCTTGCCACATCTCTTCCTCTCTAATCTTCCTTCTAAGGCCCCTTCCCCTTGCCTTGGAGACTCCTTGGAGTCTTCCTCTTCTAATCCCTCTGGTGCTGCACTGGAGTGGGGCAGGACTGAGTCAGTGCATGACAGAGAGACCTCCAGTGAAAGTCAGGAAGTGCACGTTGGTGACTCACTGGAGACCACTCCTTCATTGCAGTCATTGACTAAGCAGGGTGAGGCAGGCACTGAGCACTTTTGGAAGAGCAGCAGAGCCCTGATTTGAATGCCTGGCAATCAATACCAAGTCCCTCTGGCAAGAGGAAAGGTGCTAACCCCAACATCTTGACGGAGCGCCAGCTCAAGCCTTTGGTTCTTGCCACCTGAAATTCCCCTGCTGGGATTTAGGATCTTCTTTCCCATTTCCCACCCTGCCTTACACACCTGTGCTGTTCCTTTGGGCTGTTGGAGGCTGGTTATGTTCTGCCCCATGAGAGTTGGATTTCAGACCTTGATTTCCACTTAGAAATAGGGGAGATCTGAAAGACTGAAAGAAATACCAGGGGGGTGGGGAAATACAGATGCCACCCACTAGAGAGCTTTGAGCTCTTACTTCATCCTGGTTTTCCCCTCATGGAAGGTTCTTGTAGATCTGGTCTGTGTGGGACCATATAGAAGACATTATTGTCCGTGGTCAAGGTGCAATGCAAGGGGCTGTCTCACACCCAGGTGCTTTGTGTAGGGTCTTTTGTAAGTGCATTGTTTTCTCCTTAGGTAAAGTCTGGGTACTGTGACCTTCCCACATCCCCTTCTGTTCAGCTCTGAGTGATGCAAAGGCTGTTAGGGACTGATTCCTCTGCCATTTGCATCATGATATTGCCACACCAACCGGTGGCTCATCACACTTCTACCAAGGGCTCTTTCAATGCCCTTGGGGTGAGATGAGTATCAGGGAAGAGGAGGGAGGTGAGAGGCTCAGCAGAGGCAGGGTTGTGCAAAGCAGTGTGGAGTTCACATGGTTCTTAACAAAGAGGCATTGACTGGAGGCTCACTGTTGTGACAGAGCTCACTAGTGCCTGGAGATCATTTCCAGAGCTTTCTATCTGGGGGAGCAAGAACCAGCTTTGCAGGTGTGGGAGCCTCAATGTAACAGCACCTCCCGGGCTTTTAGGAGAGAGGGGTTTTCAGGTTCAAGACCCACCAGCTGCCACTTGTTCTGCCCCCTCCCCAGTGTCCTTCGTACCCAGGGAGTCCAGACCTTCCTTGCCCAGACCTTCCCTGTCCAGACCTTCCCTTCCCAGCCCACTGCCTGTGCCCCAGGGCACTGTGAGTTCCACACAGTGCCCTCAAGGCCTTGCATGACCTACTCAGTATCTGGGTTTGGGATCGTGGGGAAAGGCATCAGCACAAACCACTTCAGAGGCCAAGGTGGAGGAGTAGGATCTCAGAGGTCTCCACTAATGAGGTCTTGGCACCAGCTTGTCTTTGGCACTCAGCTGTGCCTTTTTTTTGCCTTTTTTTTTTTTTTAAATGCTTTTGGTCCTCGATTAAAAAAAAATAACCCCCCAAAAAACCCCCTAACGAGTAAAAGGCAACTCAGCAAGCTTCAACCTACACAGCTAATCCTTCCTCGTGTGCTGGCTGCCTCCTGGGAGGTGCCAGGGTGGATTGGTGGGCACTGGGACACCTGGCCCAGGAGCTGCAGGTGGCAGGATGCATCCCAAGCCTTTCCTCTGCCATCCTGGCCACACACATCCCTCAGCAAAGCCAGGGCAGGGCGAGCCCCAGCCCTGCACGTGCACACACACATCCTGCTGCAGATGCTCCAGCCCCTCCAGAGGCTGATGAGGGATTTTCTTTTCTCCTCCTCTCTCAGCCTTGCACACTCATTGCCATCAATTATCTAACAGTAGCTTGTTTGCCTTCTGCCTTCTGATTTGGGATGGGGAGCATGAGAAGCTGATCCAGCCACTGTCAAACCTCTTTGACTCCATCTGTTCCCCTTCCTCCTCCTTCCCTGGGAGGGGTGGGTGCTATTGCTGTGCAGGGAGCAGAGCTAGGGGTGCCTGTTCCCCTGATGAGAGCCTTGGAGGAGCAGAACACCAGGAGTTCACCCTGTCTTGCAAAAGAGCCACGAGTTACTCAGTCACCTGGAAAGGAAACACGATTTCCGCAGAGTGTTTGGGGTTTTGGGGGATATTTTTTGTGTTTGTTTTGTTTTGCTGTTCCTTCTGCTGGCTGTTTTTCTTTTCTATTTTCCCCTTTTCCCCTGAAGCCTCTAGAAAGTTTGGAATGTGTTTTTGTTGAAGCTGCTACATGTAGGAGCCTGAATCCCAGCGTTGGCAGCATTTTGTTGTTGGCAAGCAGACTTTAGCTGGCACTGGCTTTTCCCCTAGCCAAAAATCTGACTCTCTACACCTGGGCAGAGCAGGGTTCTGCAGGACCATTCTGGGGTCTGGCTCAGAGTCAGGTTCTCCAGCAACAAAGTCTTGTTTTTTCTCCAGTTTGTGTCCAACTACAGTCACTCCACACTGAAGCATGAATCCCGTGGCAAGGGTATGGTAGAAGGGGGAGACTAGAACTGGGAATTGTTACCATCACTCAAGGTCAAGAAAAATCACTTGCTTTTTAAAAGGGTCATTCATTCATTTGCAGAGAAATCATGGAGTAAAGAAAGGGCACAGTAATGATGGAGTGAGGGATTGGATTCATTTCCCTTTCATGACTTACACCACATTCTCTGCCGGATTGGCTGATTATATCATAGAACCATAGAATCATGGAATGGTTTGGGTTGGAAGGGACCTTCAAGACCATCCAGATCCAACCCCCTGCATGGGCAGGGACACCTCCCACCAGCCCAGGTTGCTCCAAGCCCCATCCAACCTGCCCTTCAACACTGCCAGGGATGGGGCAGCCACAGCTTCCCTGGGCAACCTGGGCCAGGCTCTCACCACCCTCCCAGTGAAGAATTTAGGAGACATGTCTCAGCTGCCCATCCTTGGGCACTGCCTCCTTCCTGCCACCTTCTCTGCAGACCCAGCTGGGGAGAGACCAGGCTGCCCTCCCAGCTCTGAGGGTGATTTTGAGGAGAATCCATGGGCTTCCCTTCCCCTCCTCTCTAGGGTTTGTCTCATCTCAGGCTTTGCTGGCACTGCCAGGAGGTGCTGGGCCACGAATCCCCGCTGCTGTCGCAAACGGGGCCCGTTCCACTGGGATGTGGGAAGGCGGGTTCAAAGGGAACCGCGGAGACCTGTGGGGGGTCAGGGAGCTTGTGTGGGAGCAGAGCCAGTTGTGCCATCGCCCCAGCCCCAGGCAGGCTCTGCTGGGGGGCATGAGCCCTTCATGAAAGAGGTGGGGATGGGTGCTGATGAATCCCTTCCCCTCCAGCCTTGGGAGGAAGAGGGAGTGCTGAGCACACCTCCGGGAGATGGGTGGCAGGTTGTTCCCAGGGCTTTGGCTACGTGATTCCTCGTGCTCCCCAGCAAGCTCCCACATGCTCTCTCAGGCTCTGAAGACTTCAGAGCCAGACTGCTTGGCAAAGCTGTTGCACACCTCTGCAGGTGTGGGCAATTCAGCAAGAGGCCCTCTCACCTCCGGGGTAGTAGGAGCAGCGTATATTGGAGACATCTCCCCCCTCACCATCCACCTGTTCTCTCCTGAAATCCCAGCATTGTGTTATCTAAAGCCAGCCCTGCTCTGCACCCAGTGCCCTCGTCTCATTAGGAAGGCTGTTGTGGGCCATGGGCTCCCACTGGGCAGAGTCTGGTGCCAGGCAAGTGTTTCACTGTGTCTCACTGCCTGGACATCCTTCTCTGGTAGGCCAGTCCTCCAGTTGGGATGGAGAAACATGGTCCTGTGTGCCTTTACTGGAGCAGGAGCACCCCTTCCCTCTGGTTCCTGGAGGGACGTGCATGGCAAACATGGCATGGCTACCCTGGGAATGGGGAACGTGCAGCCCGGCCAGCTCAGCCCGCAGCCTCTGAGGACTGGGTGGCTCAGTACATGCAGGCACATGAGGGCAGCCGTGCTTTGCTGTGGCCGTGAGAAGGACTGGAGAACATTCCTCAGCTGCCAGCCGCAGTGCTGGGGTGTGGGGCTGACTCAGGGAAGGGGGCAAGTTCACACAAAGCTCTAGAGACCGAGTTTCGGGCTTAATTGCTGCTGCTTGTGGTCAGCGGCTGGCGTCTGATGGCCAGGCTGGATTGTTGAGGCTTGTCCTCAGGGTCACAGGCTTGGCGTGGAGGGAAGGAGAAGGGGAGAAAGAAGAGCCTTAGATGACATGTGGGGACTGAGATGGGGCTGAGCATGGCAGGCATGGGGCGAGGGGGCAAGGTGGGGTGTGAGGAGAGAAGGGCGAAGGCGGTGTTGGTGGGGGAGGAGGCTGGTCCGTGCCTGCACGGGGTGTGTGGGGCTGCAGGGAGGAGAGAGCTGCTGCTCATGTTCATCTCTACAAGTTACAGAAGTTACGTCTGCCAAGGGGCTGTGGGGGCCAAGACTGAGGAGCTCATGTTGGCCTTGCACAGGGAGCCCAATTATCCCCTGGAAGAAGTGGGTAGGGGTGACATTTCAGAAACACCCCGTCCCCTCAGTAGGAAGATGCTGTGCTTCTCTTGCTATGCATTTTTTTTCTTCCCCCAGCCTCTCTTTCATTGCCCTTTCATGTTCCTCACTCTTTGTACATCTTTTTTTTTTTTTTATCATCCCTTTCCTTTACTCTCAGCCTCCCAGAATACATCCAATTTCAGATCCTGCCAGAAGCACTGAGCAAAACTGGCTTTTCTTGTTCTCACCACCTCGCTCCTGTATTCTATTTATCATATAAATACTGGCTGTATAATTACCAGAGCATTATCTCTAAATAGACAGGGAAAGACACAGTGGCAGCCAAAGGTGAATTTCAGGGTCAGTCTGGTGGGAGACATTTTTCTGCAGCCGTCAGGGGAGGAATCAGCTGAGGCAGAACAGTCATAGGCAGCAGCCACCACCTTTCCCAAGCACCTTTCATCTTCACTCCACAGAATCAAGATGGAAGGTTTCTAAATGCAGCCACTTCTGGGGTTGAAAAAAAGGCCACAGAAACAACCTAGATCATGCAGGTGGATTGTGCAAGGTGCATGGGCACTGCTGTACAGCTGTTTTTATATGGGAACTATTGCTAGTCTGAAACCAAGGCTGAGTATTTGCAGCTCATTTAATTACTGATGCATTTCCAATGGGATTCCATGGATGTCTGAGTGTGTGTTAGCATATGTTACAATATGTTATGCTGATAAATATCTGTGCCTTCAGATCTGTGTGCTCTGCATAACTGATGTAGTGTTACCCAGAGCTGAGGACAAAAGAGTTATTGATCCAGCCTGGTGCCTTTTGGTGATCACGAGCCCAAAGCATTAGGGCTGGGTGAACATCAGTTGTGGCAGAGAAGGTGTTTATGAACAGGAATGAAGCTGCAGGTGGATGCAGGAGGTGCTGAGTGTCTGTAGCCACCCATTGTTCATCTCTCAGCCATGCCAAGAATGGACTTAAAAAAGCTCATGGGCCTGATGTGCAAGGACCATTCTTTTTCTCTCTCCCTCTGTCCAGGCAACACGTGCCTATGTCATGTCTCCCCATTTCGTTGCAGGGCTGCAAGCTCAGACTGTCTTAGTCAATGACACCGTCTCGGGGTTCATCGGGACGGACGTGGTCCTGCACTGCAGCTTCACCAACCCCCTCCCCAATGTGAAGATCACGCAGGTCACCTGGCAAAAGGCCAGCAACGGCTCCAAGCAGAATGTGGCCATCTACAACCCTGCCATGGGAGTCTCCATCCTCTCTCCCTACAAAGAACGGGTGACGTTCCGGAACCCTTCCTTCAAAGATGGCACCATCCAGCTCTCCCGGCTGGAGCTGGAAGATGAGGGGGTTTATATCTGTGAATTTGCCACCTTCCCAACTGGCAACCGGGAGAGTCAGCTGAACCTCACCGTGCTGGGTAAGGTACTGGGCAAGCTTTGGGTGTGAACTATCCCCCCCGGTTAAACAGATCTGGAGGAAATTGTGGCTCATGTCCTGGGATCTCAGGGCAAAGGAGAATCTTGGGTGTAAATTTTACCTTTCAAGTTGATGGTACAGAGGTGAAGAGCAGGGAACCCAGGGTAAGTGGTTCACTGAGCTATCTCAGGAGCAACTCTTCCTCTTTCCAGGTCTCAGTTCCACTGTCTTTTAATGCAGGTACAATAGCAGTGGCCTGTTCCCTAAGGGAGTGGTGACTTTTAATGGGCTGGTGGCTGTCAAGTGAGCAGAGAGAAAAGACAAAAGAGCTTCTAAGCACAAGTAGAGCTTGTCCATGGAGCTTGGAGCTGTCAGACCTCACCCAAGGTCTACATGATTCGTTTGCTCCAATTTCAGCTTCACATTCTAACACAGGGCTGAAAACCTGTGGCAGGAAAGCACTGACTTTCCATCCTGTGCCTGTGCCTCTAGGACATCTCCACCATTCTTTCCCCTGAGTAGGTTGCTTGCAATTTGCAGCAGCTCTGGATTCTCCACACGGTCTGTCACAGGCTCAGTGGTGCTAGATGTCTCTTGGGTTGGAGTAGAGAGGGTATGATTGTTTTTCTAACCATCCTTTTTTACCCTTTTCTTCCCCTCCTCCTCCTTTTTGCAATTCCTTGCAGCCAAGCCCACAAACTGGATGGAGGGCACTAAGCGGCCACTCATTGCAAAGTCTGGCAGGACAGAAAAGATCTTGGTGGCCACCTGCACCTCTTCAAATGGGAAACCACCCAGCACTGTCACTTGGGACACCAAGCTGAAAGGAGAAGCAGAGTTCCAGGAGATCCGGAACAGCAACGGCACCATCACGGTGATCAGCCGGTACCGGCTGGTGCCCAGCAGGGAGGCCCACAGGCAGCAGCTCATGTGTGTGGTCAACTACCAGCTGGACCGGTTCACTGAGAGCATCACCCTCAACGTGCAGTGTGAGTGAGCCCTGCAGGGCACTGCTGCATGGTCAGATCCCAGGTTGAGTCGGAAGGGATGTTCAAGATCATCTAGATCCACCCCCCTGCATGGGCAGGGACACCTCCCACCAGCCCAGGCTGCTCCAAGCCCCATCCAACCTGCCCTTCAACACTGCCAGGGATGGGGCAGCCACAGCTTCCCTGGGCAACCTGGGCCAGGCTCTCACTACCCTCACACTCCAAGATTTCCTCCTCGTGTCTAAATCATAGAATCATGAATAGTGGAAGGGTTTGGGTTGGAATGGACGTAACAGATCATCTAGATCCAATCCCCTGCATGGGCAGGGACACCTCCCACTAGATCTAAGCCTCTCCTCTTCTAGTTTTAATCCATTACCCCTTGTCCTCTCTCTACATACCCTAGTAAAAAGTCCCTGCCCAGCTTTCTTGTATGTCCCTGGGTGGCAAAGTCTGGCAAAAGAGGGGTTTTCTGAAGGGGAGATGTTGGTCAGGTGGAGGGGCTGAAGTGGGGGGCTGCTCTGTTTTTCTGGAGAGTGACAAGTTGGAATAATCATGTGCTTTCTCTTTTTCACACCTTCTTTCCCTCTGCCTCATCCCTTTGTTCCTCCCCTTCTCTCCTTCATCCCATCACCTTGCAATCTCTCCTGCTCTCCCATCCCTCTCCCCTCATCTCCTCCCATTTCACTTTCTCCCCCTTCCTTTTCCTCTCCTTTTCCATCCTGCTTTTCTATCTTTTTCATGCCCCTGCAGATGAGCCAGAAGTCACCATTGAGGGCTTTGATGGCAACTGGTTTCTCAACAGGAAGGATGTGAAGCTGATATGCAAATCTGATGCCAACCCCCCAGCTCACACCTATGAATGGAAACTGTAAGTGCCTGCAATGGTTCTGCTCCCAGCAGCTCACATGATCTTCAGACAGGGCCAAGGAGTTTCTGTAGAAACCTCAGTCACCCTCTGGTCAGTTAGAGCCCAGTCCTGTTACTGCCACTGATGTCACCCCAGAGTAAAACCTGGGCATGTGAGGGGAGAGTTGGACACATGTCCAGCTGGAGCTGCCTCTGCTGGATGGTCAGAGCTGGTCCTGCTTCCCTGGCACAGCTCTGCCAAGAGACCTGCACTCCACAGAGATGGGAACTAATCTATTTGCAAAGCAGGGAAGCTGCTTTCTTCAGTCTTGGCCTTCCTGGCTCATCCCCTCCTGTGCTGGCCATCCTCAGCTTGTCAGCTCCACAAGAAGACTCCTTGCCCTACTTCTTGAGGCAGGCAGGGCAGTGTTTGAAGCACCATGGGCAATGGACTTGTTTGGAGTGGATGGGTTTATCAGAAGTTTCAGGTGGCCTGTGGCCCCAGCTGGCTTAGCTGGGCCCCCACAGCCAGTAGCAGAGCTGGAAAAGAACCCAGGGTTTCCCTTCCCTAAAGGGGAATAAAGAGCACAGAATTCATCTGTGTGTGGAAAAAACCTTTCCCTGGAATTCTCTGTAGGCAGGAACTCCCCTTTGGAGTGCTCATCCCCATGGTATTGACATTAACAGAAGTTCCTTGTCCTCCAGGGCTTCATCTTTTGGCAGAACACACTAAAAGGACTGAAAAGTGTGCTGAGGGGTGGCTGGGGAGTCAGGTGGGAATTGCTGCAGCCCAAAGTGGCACTCTCTTCCCCTCTTTCTTTTGTATAAGCACTCATGTAGCTTTTAAAAAAAGAAAGATCAAATGGATCCTTTCTTCTCTTCAGTTGCCATTTGTCACCAGGAGAGCAGCTCTCAAAATGGCTTTGCATATTCCCTCTCATTTCACTTCCCAGATCAAACTGTTCTCAGGGAAAGTCTGAAGAGGATTGGTTTTCTTTCCTTTTCTTCTAGTTCTCATCCCAGCTCCCTCCCTCTGTTGATTCTGCCAGGTTGACTTAAACTCTAAGGGGCACTCTGGGCTCCTCACAACCTTGCCAGGAAAGTCTTACAGACTAAGATGCCCCGTGTGGCACCCAAGGCAGAGGAGATGCCAGTTTCAGCTATCTCTGCATAGCAGGTTGGCAAACTGAGCTGAAACAAGCCCTGTGAGATGCAGCTGGGGACAGGAGGCAGGTTTTTCTCTCTGCTTTTGGGCAAGACATTTCATCCCTTTGTTCTGCTGTTGCTCCTGAGCAGGGCTGGGGGTTGAGCTCTTGCTGAACTCTGGGGGTATCAGGCTCTCCACTGGTGTTCCCAGTTCATGGGAACAGCACATCTTTGAGCCAGGCACTGGGCTGGTCCCTGTGTGCTGATGTGATTGATGGGTTTTTATATTGTGGGGTTTTTTTTAACACTGGAAAGAGTTATTTTCCTATAGATTCTCTGTAAGCTGTGTGTGTGTCCATTTGTCAATCTTTAGCCAGCAAGGGTTTCTTGGCTTACAGCTGAGAGGCTGGGAGCATCAATGCTTGGCTTTGAGAAGGAACTGTGGGGAGAAAAAATGAGAGAGAAAGCATGGAATTAAAGAGTACAAGTTGCTAAGCTTGATGGTGCTTCAGTCTGATTCCCCAGCCTCTCCCTTCTTGTACACTGGGCTGGGCAGTTGGGACTGAGTCCAGGATTATTGACGTGAGAGAGGGTGGCAAGGAAAGCTGGAGTGCAGCTGAAGGTGAGGAGAATGCAGGTGGGAGAAGAGGAAAGTGGGGTGAGAGAAAGCAAGTGAGACTGGAGGAAACAGAGGCAGAAAGGGAGGAGAAGGAAAAAGCTGGGACACAAAGTTGCCCTCTGGCTCTCCCCAGCCCCAGGGGAGAGTGGGGCTCTGTGAGGAAGAGTCAGACCAAGCAGCTGGGCTGGAAGCTTGATAAATAACTGTTCTGCAGGCAGCCACCTAGACATGCAGTGTGAGGGTGTGTAGGGAGGTAAGGAATAAGAAGAAGATCCATAGCCATCCTCTTCCTTCCCACAGTGCTACTTCAGTAACATCAAACTGGGCAGGCAGAGAAATAACCAGCAGCATCTTAGGTTTATCCATGTTCTGCTTCACCTTCCTGGGAGTCAGGAAACAATTAGTGCTGCTGATGTTGTGCTCCTGCCTGGAATGTAAAAACCAGCCATGCTTTCCTCTCCTCTTCTTTGGATGGTGATGAGCAACAGTCAAGGGAGCTGTTAAAGGAAGGAACAGCCTCCTTTAGCACCCCACAGTTTACAGATGAGCCCTTGGCTTTGTAGATTCAGGGCCCTAATTCACCCAGAGGCAGAGACCATCATTAGACTGTTCCATCCTTCCATCAGCTCTGGAATCACTGCCTTGATGTAGGTGGGAAAGACCCATATATTTGCTGTGTAGATGTGCCTGTGTGTATATGTAGCTACACAAAACGTGCCTGTGCATTTAGGCACTTCTTTACAAACCTAATTATACCCCCATTATTCCCTTTTGTTTCTTACAAATTGCTGACAATATGTGCAGATTGTTTGTTGGGAAGAGGGGAAAGAATTACTTGAATATTTTTTAATTGCCTAAGAGAAGTAATTACCTTACTTTACTTCAGTAATTAAGAAGAACCAGGCCATGTGTGTCTTTTCCTGACACACAGGGTTGGGTTTTTTTTTAAAAAAAGGAAATTATCTGCCTTTATTCATTTATTCTGTGTGTCTCTAGACTTGGTTTTGCATTATTGGAGTTTCACACTTCTCTGAGTGTTCTGACACGGGCAGGTCGGAGCTGGCAGGGCTCCACATCAGCACAGCTTTCCTCCAGCTTCAGTTGCAATTAACACTGGCTGATCAGCTGCCCAGGAGAGTTCCATGGGCAGGAAATTGGAGTAAAGCAGGGTCAGGTTGGTGTCCCATTCCTGTGGTTTCCATCAAATGGAGAGTCAAGGGTGGAGAAGACTCTGAAGATGAGCCTGCTAGAGGTGAGCCACCTGAAACAAAAGAGTGACCTGGCCACCTTAGCCCAAGTTTATACCTACTGGGAGATTGTGCTGGAAAATTAACTGCTGCAAGGCTCTAAGTTTGGTTTCTGGATAGGGGAGAGCATAGGCTGAAAGTGCTTCACATCCCATTAGTCAAATCCAAGGGGCTGCTCCAGACCCAAATATGCCCCATCTCCCTGGTAATCACAGAGAAGGGAAAAGAAACAACCCACAATCCATGTCAAGAGCCCAGTTCTCATTGTTCAGTGGATTTACCCTGGGGACCCTCTACTGACTCTTTCCTGTAATGCTGCTGTCTGAGGGTTTGGTTTCAAGGCTGACTACATGAGTGGGTATTTTCCAGCCAGCACCACTGGATCCTGGACCTACCCAAGGGCATGGGCAGCACCAGCATGTCAGTGTCACCTCTGCAATGCTGCTTGACCCTACTGAGTATCATCTCTGGGGCCAACCATGCTCTTTGTTTCCTCTAGGCCAAACGGGACCCTGCCAGGGAGTGTGGAAATCCAGAACAACACCATCTACTTCAAGGGGCCTGTCTCCTACAGCGTGGCTGGCACCTACATCTGTGAGGCCTCCAATGCTATTGGAACTCGGTCAGGCTTGGTGGAAGTCAATGTCACAGGTAGGAAAACACTTGGTGTGCTTTGAAAGACAAAGAGGAGGAGCAGGTGGGGAGAGGAGGGTGTGAGCACTGGGCAACTACCAGTCAATTACATCTCCTTAATGTCTGACTTAATCACCAGTGTCTTCTTCTAGAGGTGGGGAGCTCAATGATACAAAGGGAGCTTTGTGAAGTTCTTTGCTTTGCACTGTTTTTTGCACTAGTCTGGCTTGGATTTGTTCTCCTTTCCTCTTGCTGACTTTTCCTTCCTTAAGTCAAGATATATTCAGTTTGTTCCTCCCTCGTCTTCTGCTTTCGATTCAGGGAGATCATTGAACATGTTAAAAGCAAAGACATGTCAGGGAAGTGTGTGTCAGAGGGTGGAAGGAAGAGTGGGATGAGGATGTGGACTGCTACTGAGGCATGAGATGGATGAGTCATTTGTCCAGGATGGTGTTTGGTGTTTCTGATGTTATACAATTCTCCTGGGTGTCCATTTGTGCTCCTTCCAATGCCATGTTGGTCTGTGCTGCTCACCTGGCTGCCACGGGTCACTGAGGAGCTGGGAGCACTTGGGTAGCTTTGCCTGGGCTCCAGAAAGGAGTCACATCACCAGGATGCAGGTGATTGGGAGTGATCCCATGGGACATCAGATGGGACAGAAGGAATTCTGATGACTTGCAAATCAGCACAGCCACAGGAGCAAGGAGAAGACGTGGAAATGTCTCTTAGGTGGTGTCAAGGAGAGAAAGTGATGTCAAGAAGTAGGTTAAACAGAAGAAATAACATATGGCAAGAGCCTGATTGCAGAGAGACAAAGTGATATTGCAAGGCACCACCAAAGGGAAAAAAAAGTGGCTGTTTGTGCTTTGAGAGCAAGGAAGGGAAGTTTACCCCCTTCCTTTGGGGTACAAGGAGTGACTTGTTTTACCAGAGGGTTGGTGCCAGGCAGGGACCAGCAGCTGGGAGTCCCAGGGGTGCTGCAGTGAGCTGGAGGATGCCACACTGCAAGGAGCTCCATGTTCTCAGAGGGGCCAGGCTCCAGCCCCCTCCTCCTGCTCTCTACCCTGGTAAGTGCTGAGCAAACATAAAGACGTGGCCTGGGCAGGTGACCTCCTGAAATGAGCAGTAACACTTGTTTGGCACCCTCAGCACCTCAGTTCCCCTCCTCTCTAACACGGGGAAACCAGGCTCATCTTCCTCTATCCAAGCACTTGGAGGTCAATGGATGAGATGTGCTAATTAGATGCTAATTACCAAGTATTTATTTATGATCTTTATCACTGTGGCAGGCCTTTAATTTACACCTCCTGTCCTGGATCCGTGCCTGCTGAGTTGTTCCTGGCCTGTGCTTTTCTCTTGGGGGGATTTTTCATTTGCCAGTGAAAGGCACTGGAACCTTCCCACACACCTTGGGTCACATTTGAAACTGACAGGAGGGAAAAATCCTCCAAGCTCAGTCTCTAGCTGAAGGGAAGGAGGTGGGGACAGATGTAGCAGGAGACTTAAGAGAGGAACTGGCTCCCTTCACCATGTCTCAGTTTCCACCCTTTCATAACCTGTACGTCCATTTCTTGCTGTCGTTCTGTCCCTCCGACCACCCAGTGTCTCTTGCTCCATCAGGACATGTTCCCCAAAACCAGATCAGCCCTCTCCAAGTATTCCCTGCTGCTGTCTGAGCACCACGACAGCAGCACAGCCTGGGGGGGCTGCACCCACTCACAGGCACAGGCTCCTCTAGGGTCTGTGGGTTCCCCCTTTGGTAAATGTCTCCCTGTTGGGGAGGTTCTCAGGGGACTGGCAGAGCATGGTTCCCACACTCAGCTGGCAAGGGCAGCAGGGACTGGCAGGATTTTTAGGGAATGACTTTGGGTTGATGTCTGCCTGCCTGTAAGATCAATTCATTCCCAAAAATCCAGAACGTGGGGTTGAGGTTAAAGGAGAGGGAAGGAGGGGCCCAGCAGCAGCTGCCCCACCAGGAGGGATGAGCAGCCAACCCGTTAGGCCAGGGCTCCACTACATTAAAAAATAAAATGCTTTTAATAATTGTTAGGTTGTGAATATGTTTATCCAGCTCTCCTGAGAGACTGATTAGGCCAGTGCTGGGGAGGGCTCAGCCGTCCTTGCTCAGCTATTACAGGTACATTTGTTTGGGTCTTGCAGGCAATTTAGGGATTGTCAGTGGGCCACGAAACCTCTTTCAAGAGCTGCCTGCAATAAATGGAGTTCAATCTAGTAAGCAGCCAGCCCTGGGGAGGGGGAAAAAAACAACCAGAAGGCTGATGCAGAGAAAACCCTGCAGGGTCTTTCCCCCTCCTCCCACCCAGCATCCTTCCTCCCAGCCCCAGGGAGGAAGAGTTCAGCCCCCTCATGGGGAAGGTGATTTGTTCAGGGGGAGAAGGCTGGATGCTTCTCTTAGAATTATAGTGCATTGAAGAGATTGATAAGTGGAAATTTAATATTTTATTCCTGCAATCTATTCCTGTAATAGCTTCTCCTGCCTTGCAGGACCTTTGTCAGTGGCAGCCAAGCCATGTAGTGTGACATGTAACTATTTATTACAGGAGGTTGGGTGACATAATAAAAGGCTGTGGTTATAGACTGCCCGGGCCTGCGTGTGTGTCTGCACAGGTGTGTGGTGGTCCTGCACAGGTGTGTGGTGGTCCTGCACAGGGAGGTGCTGATGTGTGTGACCCCAACCACATCCTGGCACACAAATGGGCCTCCCAGTCCTGCAGGCAGGACGTGAGAGCATCAGTGCCTTGGCATGTGTGGATGTGCATGTATTTATGTGCTTGGCTGTATGGGCCTGTGTGCAGCAGTGCATATACATACCTGGGCTGTGTGCAGAGACATTTGTGTGTGTGCAGAGACATTTGTGTGTGTACAGAGACATCCATGTGTGTACAGAGACATCCACGTGTGTCCATGCAGGGGGTGTCATGCACTTGTGTCCTGGCTTCAGCCAGAGGAAGCACATGGAGAAAGATGCTCCTTCAAGCACCAGGCAAGCATCACAGCCACAGGAGAAGCAGAGCTGGGGGAGCAGAGCCTGTGCTGAGGCAGTGCCTGCTGTCAGCCACTCTGTTGCAGGGCTCCTGCCTGTTTCCCAAGCCCAGGAGAGGGTCTTTTCCTCCAGGATACTGCAGGTTCCCCTGGTTGCTGGCTTGGTTTAGCCCAACCTCTGCACTCCTTGGATTTCCAGGAGGCAGGACACGATGTGTCCCAGGGGTGAGCTGTGAGGACAGGGAGCTCTGTGCTGTTCCCTGTGCCAGCCCTGGGCAGGCAGCTTTGCAGCCCTGGCCTTGGATGTGTGACAAGCCCTGGGAGGGGGGGAGAGGGAGGAAAGGTTGGCAGGGGCTGAGGGCCCCCCTGTTTGCTTGGCTTTCAGCAGGGAGTTATTTACACACCAGCAGTGATCTCCTCCCAGCAAGGTCACTGCAAGAAAGAGCAAGCCCTTTGTGGGACATGAGCAATCCCAAGGGCACAGCAGGTGCACCCAGAGCCACCAGCCAGGGCCGTGCCAGGCTGCACCAGCCAGAGCCAGGGGTTGCTTTTTTAGGTGGGAGGACACAGGGGCTGGGGGCTAAAGAGGAGCAAGCCTGGGGGGGGGGTTGGGGGGCTCTGTCTGGTGCTAATCTTCCGGATGGCGGGCAGGAGTGTCTGCTGCATCCTGTCTGGTGGCATCTGTGGCAACGGGCCCCGCGGGA